ACAACGGAGCAACAGCTGCTACTTACTGAGGCTGTGTCCAGTACAACAGGTGCAGCTACGACAGGCCTACGTACACGCAACGTGTTCTCACTGCACTTTTTTTTTTTATCCTCAGGGTCAGAACACAGTTTCTAACTGATTCCCTGTCAGCTCACCTTCTCTTTCATTCATACACTAGAGTCATGTGATATGTGTTCACTGGTTTCCACCTTGCTGTACCCTTGCAGTCAGAAAAGCTAGGAACGAAGTCACAGGTACTATGTTAGAGGAGGAGAACATGATTCCACCCACTGTGGCTCAGGAGGTAAAGAAATGTGTCCTCCAACCAAAAGGTCAGCCACTCGATCCCTGGCTTCTCCTGTCTGCACACTAAGGTGTCCTTGGGGCAAGATACTGAACCTCACATTCCCCTGTGAACGTAGTGGAGTAGTGCTTATTCTAGACTCTACTTTACTCTACTTGTGTTTGTGGTTTTTGCTGTGTTCAATATTCATGAGGATTCCAAACATTTCTAGGCAACGTTAATGAACTTCCACTTTTTATTTTTGCAGTACATTTTGTGAGTTTTTGTCTCAGTCACTTTTTAGTCCATTTGTTTGTCTATTTTTGCTGTCTTTAAGCCACCTGCCATTTTCTGGTTTAGGTAAAACACTATACTCATGATACAAAGGAATGCAGCATTTCAACTATACATTTTATGTTCTCAAAGAATATTTTCTTAAACTATAACTCTGATTTTCTTTGACAGAAAGGAAACACAGCTCTTCATATAGCGTCTCTTGCGGGGCAGACAGATGTGGTGAAGGAACTTGTCACACATGGAGCCAACGTTAATGCCCAGTCTCAGGTACATACACACATACACACACATACTACAGTACATGTTACCAGACCAAATCTGCTGTCTATACTGTCATTCCTGCCCTGTACTGCAGTGTGAGATTGTATTTCACTTTGTGAAACATAGCGAAATGCAATCTCATCTCATTGATGTTGTGGTCAGTAAACAGCAGGTTAGTTTTTTCTGCACTGTGTCCTTGGTCTGGGCCACACTGGGAATGATGACATTCACATACACAGATAAGAGAAAAGGGAGATTTGTTTTTTGAGGCTGATGATTCTTTTTGATATTCTTACTGCTGTGGAGCTGAGTTTTCATGGCCACACACACACACAGACATGAAGTCCTTTTTCAGCTGCAGTTCTAGACCACATGCTATCTCTGCTCTTATCAGGTGTGAGGTATGTGCAGAGGTGACAGTATGTACTTCTTGATGGCCAAGTGTCAGTTAAAATAAAATAAAAAAACAAGTAGACAGCCTATGTAACCTGATGGAGTTTAAATGATTTTTCTACAGCCTCCCTCAAATGCCTGACTGTCTGCCTCATACTTGTTGGACTCCTTCATGGAATGATAAATACTTCTTTTTTTTGGATTGGATTTAGTTGGTCTTTTTTTATTATATTATTTAAATATGACTTATCCCTTTATCTCATCTCCTTATGAGGACTCAAATGCGGAAAAGAGAAAGACGCGCTCTGTGGTTCTACATAGAGACATCCTGCTATCCGAGTCCAAATGTTTCTGATTGTGTGGATTATCATAATATTGTTATGTGCCCCGGGTTACTCCCCGCTTCCACTACTGTACGTGACTTGAACTGTGATACAGATTAGTACTATCCACACTACATGCTAAGTATACAAATGTGCCTGATGTACAAATTTCTTCTCTAGCTGCTAAAAGAACTTTCACTGTTACATGATAAAATATATCAGCATTTCATATACAATGATTAGAAAAGAAAAAGTGTGTCTTTATAGATTTGGTTGTTCTTTAAATGTAGTTCCCTCTTTTATATGTACTTCATTATACTACGTACTGTTGGAAAGGCTCAGTTCATGTCATGTAAAATCATATAAAATTGAACATTAAATCACCAGATAACGTATTTGTTTTCACAACAGTATTTCTCCATGGCTAAATACCAAAATACCAATCAGGATGTTTAGTCTCACATTTGACCTACTGATGGTTTAGTCCCTAAAACAAGACCCACATCATCGTGATAATAGCAGGTCTGACCCATTGTTGTTTTTTTTCCTCTTGTTTCCCAGAATGGCTTCACTCCGCTGTATATGGCAGCACAGGAAAACCACATGGACGTGGTGCAGTTTCTACTGGACAACGGCTCGAGCCAGAGTATCGCCACCGAGGTAAATAACCGCCGGCACAATAGTTGGATAATAGGCTACACAGACTGTATGGCCTTAACTGCTGTTTGCACACACTCATGAGTCTGACACAGCTTCTGATAGCTGCTCTTATCCCAGCCCTCATTTAGCCTCCCTACAATTACCCTGCAGCCACAGTGCCTGTGAAGTTGGTGGTAAATAGGTGCCTGTCACCACAGGCTCATTTTAGGAGACGAAGGCTAAATAACATACAATACAGTCAAGTCATTGTTTACAGCTATCTCAGTGTTTACAGTCCATGGTGGATGAGTTAATAAAGATCTCAGAGACGGAGTGAGCGTCAGCAGTAATGTGGAGGCGTGACCTTGGCCATCCAGAGAAATTACCTTCTGGCAAAGCAGCTGTCATACATCTGTAGCACAAGCGAGTGAAACATTGTGAGTGTTTTCCAGAACAATCTGTCATTTTGAGGAGGAGCAGCAGACGCCAACTACTCCCATCACAACAGTGAAGTGAGAAAAAAAAAAATCAATCAAATTAAACCAGTTCAGTCAAACACGAGTCAAGATGAATCCCTGACCGAGCCAGGATTGGATATGAAAGAAAATTGTTTATATCCATCATCACATCTTTTATAATAGTCACCACAGTAGTAACAACTCATGACCTCAAGGGGGCCTAAGGGCCCAAAATTTGACAGGCAGTGGTCACCAAAGAAAAAAAAAAATTTTCATCTAAAACATCAACAAAATATGTACAATATAATTGAAGACCCAAGATATAGTATCTGTGATCCATCGTTGGATCTCAGACCAGTGTTTTGAAAAGGCTTTCCTGGATCATGTTATTAAGGAATAGATAGTTCCCAGGACGTGACATCTCCACCTGCTCTGACAAACTTTTATTCATCCCATGTAATCTCAGAAGAGCAGATCACAGCAGTCAAATACACTCCACCCACTGCAGGCAGTATTGGATACAACAATCACAGGACAGGCCCTGAAAATAATTTGAGATCCGCTCCTTTTCATCGTCTCCTCACTGAATCCCCTCAGGAAATCTTCCTGTCCCTCTCTGCTGCTCCTCCTTTGTGCTGCCATCCATCAAAACTCTGGGTGGCAAATGTCTGAAAGCCAGCCCTGAAAGTACTGCTCCAATTTGCTTACTCCTCAGTATATAGTTTGGTGTTGTGAGTGTGTCTATAATTCATTTTTGTGTGTACAGACGTATCTGAAAGAAATAGTTTTTTTGTTGTGATTCTCCTGGTGGTGGGAGGCAGTACTGCACATATGTGGCTCTTGTCTGGTCGAACAAACAAACAAAGAAATGGAAAAAAACATCCCCTGAATCAGAGTTTTCTTTTTCCCCTGGTTCACTTCTTTGTCTCCTCTCCTTGCTCCTTGCACCTTTCCTCAGTTTCTTTTCTTAATCCTCGCACTCTTCTGCTTCCTATGCTTCTCCAGGCAGGCCTTGCTTGTGGGAGGCACAGTTGAATTATTCATGTGGGGAAACGTATATCCATGTTGCAAGCAACTCTGGTTATTTAATAATTCATATTCAATATTTCATGAAAAAAAAAGAACAGGTCAAAAGAATCCTTTGTTCCTGTGAACTCTGTTGCCTCTGATGCTCCTCAAGTTTTTGTTGTGGTATTTGTATCTGATCTGTATTTGCTTTAAATAGAATACACAATAGTTGTTTGATTTTTTTTTTTTTTTTTAGTCATTCTGCATTCTGCTGTCTCATCACACGTCCTTATCTCTCTGTGACTGGCTTTCTGCTGCTCTAATCAGTGGAGGTATTTTTAGGACTGTTTCCTCCTGAATCTGACAACACAGGAGGGCTATTTAGGCTGCTTCACTCATCCAAAAGTATATAAACCACTTTGTAGGCCACATTCATGTTTGGAATTGTTTCTGTGTAAACCATAGCATGGAGGTATTCTTTCTTCCTTTTTTTTATTTTGAGACAATGAAGCACAGACCCTATATGTTCTGGAAAAAGAATAGTGTTTATATCAAACTAGGTTAAGTGTCATATATAACTGAACTTTGGTGTTTTGCATTCAATACTGAGTGATTTAAATAATGCACAGATTCACATCTATTCATGTTTATATTTCAATTTTTTTTTCATATTTGACCACCCTTGTAGTACCTCCATGAACCTCTGGGGTCGTGGTCCCCTGTTGAAGAATGTCACAGAGAATCTGTCTCAATTCGATGCTGAGATTGTTTTATCAGCATTCTGAAGCACACACACACACACACACACACACATTTCCGACGAGTCATGCATGGCGCTGCTGCTTCAACTCGTTTCTGTTTTCTTTTTCATTTATCATTCTGTCTGTGTGTATAAATCAATGTGTGATTTCATTTGCTGGTATACACACCGTCCTACACTTTGGTATTAGTTTGCAGTGTAGGATTTCCAACAAGGGTTATTTCCATTATACATTCATCTGATGATCAGAGTCTGGATGTCAGGATATCATGGTTGTATTGATTATATGTAAGAGGAGAGTAAAAGGCCTCCATTATTTCTTCCTTCTCTGTAACATATGCCGGACTCATGGGCTTTTCTACTGATTCAACATTAGACCATGTAAAAATATTCCAGGAAAAACTGTTTTATTTTAGAGTAAACTTGAAACAGTCACAGTTTGTTGACAGTTAGAATAACTGTCCTGCTGTTTCAGGACGGCTTCACTCCTCTGGCGGTGGCGTTACAACAGGGTCACGACCAGGTAGTTTCCCTCCTGCTGGAAAACGACACCAAAGGGAAAGTCCGCCTCCCTGCTCTGCACATCGCTGCACGGAAGGACGACACGAAGGCCGCCGCCCTCCTCCTGCAGAGCGACCACAACGCAGATGTAGAGTCGAAGGTAAGCTGTCTGTTTAGGAGACCAGAGTTCAGTTGCCTTTTCGATTTGGTTTCTGTGGAACAAATGTACAATTTACCCACATAGACTCCTGACGACAAGACAACAGTTACATCTTTTAGAAAAGTAAAGTCCTGGACAATTGGGACACATGAGGGTCTCCTCATCGCCCCGTACTTATTGTCATTGTCTCCAGCCATATCATGCTCATCCTACAGCTTGGTGCAGCCATGGTGTTGTTGGTATTGTTGTGGTGCACTAACCACCCCATTCTTTCTTCCTCCTTCTCTTCCTCCGGCTCCTCCTTCTGCTCCCTCTTCTTATATTTTACCCCATCACTCCCCCTTTTTTCCTGTTTTCTTTCTAGATGATGGTGAATAGAACAACAGAGGTACATTTTCTTTTCTCTCCTCTCCTTCCCTGTCCTTTCCTCCACTCTCCACTCCTTTCTTCTCCTCTCCACTCCTCTCCTTTTCTCCCCTCTCCACCTAATTCTTCTACTTCTACTTTGTTCACTCATGTTCACCGTTGCGGAGCAAAGCCTTCTGTCTGCTGGCATGTGGCCTAAATGCTGGCATGAATGCTTTCACTGCTCACAGCACTTCACCTGCGTTGCCTGCGTTTGCAGCCTCAGGACAGAAGTATAATAAAAAAAACCACCAGAATTTCATTAACACTAAAAGGTCCTGAAATATGAAATCCATTCCATGTAAAAGTTTTTTGGTTTTTTTATTTAACACAGTCAAACACAACATTCTATGAGATAAAATATCATAAATATGAGCATTCCAGTTGACCTTCAGTGGCATAACCTGTTGTGTAATGTTTAAAAAGTTTTTTTCTCCAATCTATATGTTCAGTAGATTTTTGGTGTAAATGACAACAAATGAGATTCACCTTTGGTTGAAGTTGGCTTTCGATCTGGTCAATTTTTATTTTCTCCCCTTTTTGCCTTCCCCTGTATTTGGTTGTGCCTCTCTGTAATGAGATCCCAATTTAGTCCTCACTACTTAAAGTTGCACGTTGAACAGAAAAACCCCTTTGGTTCTCATTGCTTTAAGACAAATGCTTTAATATCCAATGTTTATTTTTCTTGTTGCAGCACACTCTTTATTTGCTTCAGTTAAAAAGCTGAATTTTAACATCGCATTAAAGGTAAACAAATCAGAGTTCATGATACCAAAAAAGTTAGGTTAATCAAAAACACAGCAGTGGTTAGGCCAGAAAGTCATTTAGCTGAAATATCCAAAGACTTTATTTTTTAATTTCAGGCTAACATTTATTTTTTTAAAGCATGTTTGACTAGTGCTTTTTCCTGTTTTGCTGTGCTACCTAGTTTGCTGCTACCCTAATGCTACTCTGTGTGATGTGTGATGTGTGATCATGCTTTGCTCACGTCGTGTGAGTGTGTTGACTTTTCTTTCTTGCCAATAAACCCTTCTTCTGTCTGTTTGTGACTCAGAGTGGCTTCACTCCTCTTCATATTGCTGCTCATTACGGCAATATCAACGTAGCGACTCTGCTGCTGAACAGAGGGGCAGCTGTGGACTTTAAAGCAAGGGTAGGTGAAAACACACGTGGTGGAGATGTCAGCATGTTCTGTGATAAATATAAAGCCACTCCACGCAGAAACTGAAGACTGAGGTTTTTCTGTCTTTGCAGAATGACATCACACCACTGCACGTGGCGTCCAAACGTGGAAACAGCAACATGGTGCGGCTGCTGTTGGAGAGAGGAGCCAAGATAGATGCACGGACCAAGGTATACATGCATATGTGTTGGTCAGGATTGAATGAGGTTCTAGGTCAAAGTGTCCCGCAGATATTGCTGTAAATAGATACAGTTTGGCAAAAAATAGAGAAAATCTTTTGTTGAAATAAGTAGTAGTTGACCAAATATTGAGAAAACTGTGTTCACTCAGGACGGTCTGACTCCTCTCCACTGTGGAGCCAGGAGCGGTCATGAGCAGGTGGTGGAGATGCTGCTGAACAGAGGAGCTCCGATACTGTCCAAGACCAAGGTACACACTTACTGTCACAGCTAATCACAGTTCTTTTCTGTGAACTAATGTACGACTATTCATAATCATAAAAGTTTTATTTAAGATTTAGTTTCAACTTTGTGTGATTTCCTTCTAGAATGGTCTATCTCCACTCCACATGGCGACGCAGGGCGACCACCTTAACTGTGTCCAGCTGCTGCTGCACCATGACGTGCCTGTAGACGACGTGACCAATGATTACCTGACAGCTCTGCATGTCGCTGCCCACTGTGGGCACTACAAGGTGGCAAAGGTCATAGTGGACAAGAAGGCCAACCCTAATGCCAAGGCACTGGTGAGGATGTTCACACTTGTCAATCAGCGTTATCTTCTGGTTCCATGGTTTTCGTGTTTGGGCCTAGTTTTACATCTTCATCAATAGAACTCTCGAATTTCTTCGTTTTCCTTTTTCGCACATTACACAAAACTTAAGTTGCTAGCATGAAAAAAAGTGGAAAACTGTGATGGATACATGGAGGAAAAATATGAATGAAGTGTGTGTGATGCTAAAGCTTCAGCTCTGTAGTTCACATGTCTGTGGTGTGTTTGGCATTAAAAGACTGGTATCAGCTCTGTAATGGGAGAAGTCTGGGTGGGGTTAGAGCTCTGGGACTTAATGAGCAGAGAGAATCAGAAAAGAAGGAGAAAAAAAGACATGGAAAAGGAAAATGAAGTCATAGGACGGAGCCAGAAACCTCAAAGACAGGAGGTGGAGAGAGAGGGAGAGAGGGAGGGGGCAGAGACTGAGCTGGCGAGACACGAGTGAGTAGTAAAGAAAAAGTATCTGCTTCATTGCAGAAAAAAGTTTCCTTTTTTTTAAGTCAATTATTTCCACACATGCTGGTCTGGGCTGAATACTGAGGGGTTAATAGAAGGAGTTAGAGAGAGGGAGGAGAATAAAAGACTGGAGGTTCCCTTTGGTTTTACAGTACATGAGGAGATTCTTCCAGATCCGTCTTCTGCTGGTTGTGCAAGAACTTCACTCTCATAAACTCCCACTCAGTTCGTGGACTATTTTTGTTCCAGCAGATGTTTTTATTTTTGTGTTGTTTTCATTTTTTTTAGAATGGTTTCACTCCGCTGCACATTGCCTGTAAGAAGAACAGAGTGAAGGTGATGGAGCTGCTGCTGAAGCACGGGGCATCCATACAGGCTGTCACTGAGGTATGTGTGCACTCACTGCCTGTAATCATAGTAAATGAGTCTCATTAGTGACATTTAGCGGATCCTGTTGTTGACCCAGCGGTCTGTAGTTGCAGTCAGAAAAGTTTTCTTTTTTTCAAGGGCTAACAGTAATGAACCTTAATGTAATTTCATTTTAATCTACTCATGGTAGAATTGTATATTATGTTATTTATGTCATTGAACAAACTTCATCTCACTCTGTTTATAACCTCAGAATTCTCACACTCATTCATATTATTCATAGTTAAAACAAATCTGAAATTTAATAACAATTATTGATTTTTGTACTTGTGAAAGTCTTACTTTGTTTTAAGATATTGAAGCATCGCTGTGATAAGATGATGCTGCAAAACATGACAGTTGGTGTCCGGTCCATTGTTTCTGGTGAATTTGTGAAGCCAGTCTTTGGTTTACTACACAGATTTCGTATGTGATTTATGATCCAGTACAGTGGATACCAGTCAAATTAACCCTTGTGCAGAAACCCATTTGTTAAGTGTGCTTGTCTTTGTTGTTTGTGTTGGAAAATCAAACACTTCTCTCCCACTGACTGCTTTAGATTTGTTCTGTTTGCACTGAAGCATCCACACCGCATTTTCCTCCCACCTCCCACATTTCCCTGTGGGACAGTGGATTATGCCTCACCCTTCTTTCCCCACACAGGCACAGGCAGGCTGTATCTTTCAAGAGTCCAGTTCTTGACACTAAGACTGTTTTTTTGTTTCATTACATGATGATTTCACAAGTAATAGTTAAAACTCCCATTTGACTTTGATTAAAGGTTTTGAAGTATTACTTCAGTCTTTTGGCAGCTTTTCTATATGGTGGGTTTTGACTTTTTCATCCTGTGGCTGTTTTACTTCGCCTGGCAGAAACTGTTGGACTTTATTAATACTTGATGAAAGACCCAATGCTTTGAAGTCTGAGTGTTTTCCACACCACTGTGTGTGTGGCACAGCAGACTACAGCAGGCCAACTGTGGAAAACTATAAATCTTAAAATTGTGCCACAAAGCCTCTGGTTCTCACAGAATGTTTCCCCCCTGTTTGTTTTTTGTTTTTTTGTTTTTTTGTTTTTTTTAGTCTGGTCTGACTCCAATCCACGTCGCAGCATTTATGGGACATGAAAACATTGTCCACCAGCTGATTAACCACGGAGCTTCACCAAACACAAGCAATGTGGTGAGTTTATGGCCTTTCTGTCCTTCTTTTTTTTCTTCTTTGTGTTGCAATTGTCTGAAAATGAAAAAGTCCGAGGGAAGAGACATAGATGGGAAATGAGGGTGATTACGTAGAGAGGGGGAAGAGTTTCAGCTCACTCTACCCTTAAACCCCAACTATTTGGTCGCCCACACTGTCTCTGTGGGCAGGTTACCGTAGAAACAGGCTATTTTGTGACATCATTATGGTGAGTGGGGTGTGGAGAAAACGGGGGTCTCTATTGCTCCCTGTCTCTCCGTCTTTTTCTCTGTTAAAGTTGACTGAAGGTGCATGTAATGAAAAAACAAAAGTATGATGAACTATTGAGTATTAACCCTGTGTTTTTCCTGTGTGTGTCTGTTTGTTTGCAGAGGGGAGAGACAGCCCTTCACATGGCAGCCAGGGCAGGACAGTCCAACGTGGTCCGATATCTGATCCAGAATGGAGCTCGAGTTGATGCCAAAGCCAAGGTAGGATCGTGTCTGACAGGTTCCAAACCAAAGACTGAGGTTATCAAGACTCCAAAACCAACTACCGGTACCCTAGTACCGATTGTGATCCTGTGTGATTGCAGAATGTCGTTCCCGGACATGAATTAATGTGGAACGTGAACTCGCTGTAACCTCTCAGTGGTGCAGTGAGACTGAAGCTAATGTGTTATGTTGGTTTGTGTTATTTTACTGCAGTTGTAAGAAGTATATGTCGAAACATTAAAGTCTGACATGGACACACATGACATGACTATGAAAGACCACTCTCATGTTTGTCCTCGTCCACCAGGACGACCAGACTCCTCTGCACATCTCCAGCCGCCTGGGTAAACAAGACATTGTCCAGCAGCTCTTGGCCAGCGGAGCCTGTCCAGACGCCACCACCAGCACTGGTTACACACCGTTACACTTGGCCGCTAGAGAAGGACACCGAGATGTGGCTACAGCTCTACTGGACCAGGGAGCCAGTCTGGGCATCACTACCAAGGTGAAATACAAAAATATATATGACATTTGATACGTGGAGAGGAATTCATATTAGTGTTGAGTTCTTGACAGAATAATGTTAAGTGCAGACAAATGAGTAAAGCAATAAACTGGTTTATAAATGACAACTTCCAGTTAGGTTTGTTAAGTCAAAGTGATAGGAAAACACCAGCTACAGCTGAGTGTCTGCCAGTGGAGGACATGAATCATCACCAGCCAAAAAAAATACTCTTCAGTACTGGAGGTTCCTGGAGGAGTTATTACTTCAGATGGGGCTCAGTTTTCATTATGCATTACTCCAAGCATCAGTTTAAACAGCAGTGGAGTGTTTTATGACCTCAGATTATATCTCTCCATGGAAAGCCCCTAATATAGTGGTGCAGTTGGCTGGACGGAGAAAAAAGCTAGGAACAGGCTGCACATCGCTCTGTGCCGTAAATTTAGTCTCTGGAGATTAGTTGAAGTGTTTCCACTCAAGAAGAAAACACAAAACCATGACAGCTTTTTGGACTGTTGTTTACAATATAATCGGAAGTAAAAGTGGAAAAACTAGTGGGTAAAATTTGTATTTTGATTTATTTCTGCTATTAATGCTCCCTGAGCCCTCAGTTACTGTGATAATGATGATTTTATAGCAGTGACGAAGTCCTGCAGGAGATGATGAAATGTATAATTTGGGTGTTTTTGGCATCGACTCTTACGTTCCCTTTGGCAGAAACTAACTTCTGCCAGTTTTCTTCATGGGGATCAGGTCAGATCCAAAATGATCCAAAAATGGTGTTTCCATTAAATGGATCACGTTCAGTTTGTAAGTCCTTCAAGTATTCCAGCACAGCATTTCGCTGTCAGTTATATTAATATTTTTTTTTCCCCCTAATATTTTATGTCTTCAAAATTAAATGGTTGTTTGTCTCCTAAAGGTCTTTCTAGCAGCTACAGCAGTTATTGATAGTTTGAGCTAACACAGTAGAATAGTGCTGGCAAGGACGTTATAAATTTAGGACATCCTCAGGTGGGCCACAAAGTGGTGCAGTGGTTATTGCCTTTGCCTTACAAAGTTCACGTTCCAGTGTTTACTGTACGGTCTTTCTATATGGAGTTCCCGTGTGTGTCTAAAAATCATGTGTTAGGGTTAGTACCGAGTGCCAAAAATGTAACGTGATAAAGTACTCTGCTATATAATCATTTCACAGAAATACTCTAATAATACTAAAATTTTGTAATTGTCGTTCCACCACCTCCATATATTTGGTCTTGAATCAAGACTGTAGTCTGGATTCTGTCAAGTCTTGGGACAACACTGTTCTTCACTTTTATGTTGGGGAGAGAGTGAACACAGACGTGAGTCTGCCTGCTCAGAAGTCTTTTCTTTGTGGTCCCTCATGACCGAAATATCTGATGCAACACACAAAAACTCCGTCCTGCTTCCACACCCTGGGTCGTTTGGTGTTTTATTATTTCAAGTAATTACTTCCCCATGTTGTCATTTTGGAAGACTGCAAATGAGTCAGTTTGAACAATCAGAAACACATGTTTCTATTGAGTAGGCATGCACATAACATAAAAAAGAAGAACAGCCACTAATTAGTGAGTATTTTGATAGCTACTCCAATCATGTCTCCATTAACTTTGGGTATATATTGTTTTGTTCAATGGTTGTTTGTCTGCAGAAGGGATTCACTCCTCTGCATGTTGCAGCAAAGTATGGAAAGATTGAGGTCGCAAACCTGCTGCTGCAGAAAAATGCCCCGCCTGATGCTGCAGGGAAGGTACAAATTTTTAAGGCACATTCAAAGAGTAAACACTGACGTTGAGCATCATAACCACAAATGACAGTGACACAGTTTCTTCAGTTAGAAACAGTCACTATGCTTCACAAAAGCATTAAGTTCAATCTGCAGTTTTCCAAAAAGAAAAACGTCTAGATGAACTGGAACTGTACCTCGACTTTACTTGTATGTTAGTAGATGATGTGTCTGAGAAATTACTTTTTTCAAGAGCAAGAAAAAAACACAGTGAGAGCTCCCACAGAAAATATTCTAATTTTCACAGCTACAGCTGTCACAGTATTTTTTTTCTGCACCTGCATATGCACCAGACTGTCTGCCTATCACGCTCTAACAAGGCTGATGTGTGTTTGTGTATATGTTCAGAGTGGACTAACTCCACTGCATGTGGCAGCACATTATGATAACCAGAAGGTGGCTCTGCTCCTGCTCAACCAGGGAGCCTCACCACTGGCTGCTGCCAAGGTAAGTGTGTGCTGCTAAAGATGGAGACGTTCTGTGGTCCTTAATGCAAAGGCTTTGCCTCTCTTTGGCCCGAGCTTAGGGCTGCAATGGTCCTTGTATTTACCCGGAATTATTCGGTACAAATACACATGCATACCGAATAGTATACATGTGTAACCATACGTAATTGTAGCGGAACGAATTCCCACTTCTGCCGGAACGCAATTGTGGTGGGACGCAATTACTGCTCGCTCGTATCAACAACTTAGTCATCGTAGAAGGCTTCAGGATCTAAAAACTAAAAGTGTGACTCAGCAGGACTGTCATTATATTTATGAGCAACTAAATCATGAATGAAAATATAAATTACGTCATGGCAGCTATATGACGTCGACTTTCATGACAGTGGATTTGCAGTCGCACAACCCTTTATATACAGTATATATGTAAAGTATATTTATCTATATATACATATGTATATGTATTTTTCCGTTTTTTGTGTATATCAACATTTTGTATCGAAACTGTACCGTATAGTCATGTCAGTACCGAGGTACGTATTGAACTGTGACTTTCCAGTACAGTTACAGCTCAACCTGAGATGGAAACACACTGACCTAGTTTCAGTCACCCAGGTGCATTAACACTGCATTCATTGGAGTGATGCATTGTGACTCCCTGAATAAAAAGCATAGAGCAATGCTCCAAATGTTTGCTTTGTCATAGAAGATTTTTAATGGAGGGTTAAAAATGTAAATATCTGCATGTTCTAAACTGTGTTATTGTGAGTCACTACAAATATCTTCAAAACCAGATAACTGAAAATGAAAAGCTTATTAATTTCCTAATAACTAATTTCTATTTAGGCTCTTTATAAAATGATTAAATCACGTTCTCTGTTCTGCTGCACCCAGAATGGTTACACACCTCTGCACATCGCAGCTAAGAAGAATCAGATGGAGATAACCACGACTCTGCTGGAGTACGGCGCCTGCACAAACACAGTGACGCGTCAGGGCATCACTCCACTGCATCTGGCTGCACAGGAAGGAAACGTGGACATAGTGACTCTGCTGCTGGCTCGTGACGCTCCTATTAATGTGGGCAATAAGGTAATTGAGCCCTGAGCAGAAGCCAATGCTGCTACACGGTGGTTTTTCCAATGAAAATGTTCAGGGTTATAGGAATTTAGAAAAAAAACTACTTTAACTAAATGTTAACTTGTGGTGGATCTTTGCTACTTATATTGCTACATTTATCTTTTATTTTTATTATGTTTTTACTTATCTTTATCTTTATGTTGACCTGTTTCCCCAGTCTGGTTTGACTCCACTGCACCTTGCAGCCCAGGAGGATAAAGTCAATGTTGCTGAGGTTTTAGTGAACCATGGAGCGACGATAGATCCTGAGACCAAGGTGATTACATTACTCAATCTTGGCTAGCAAGAAGCTGCAAGAATGTGACTTTTTCATTTCGATGGTATTTTTGATATGTATTTGGATGTTTTTCTATGGTCAAATTTTGGGATCAGTTTCAGTATTTGCATAAATACAGTTGATATTAAAATACAACCCAGTATAAGGAGTCCTGATAAAAAGAGAGAGTCTTTATGTTGAAACACATTTGAATAGAAACGCTGTTTTTCATCAGCTGGGATACACACCTCTTCATGTGGCCTGCCATTATGGGAATGCAAAGATGGTCAACTTCCTGCTCAAAAACCAGGCCAAGGTCAATGCCAAGACAAAGGTAACCATAAGGTTTTGAGGATCTTTGCTGTCATCTGCAGAGAAGCCATTGAATGTACTGTTCGTTTCCATATACTGTATCTGACAACTTGTGAACATCAGTATACTTTCTAACCATGCAGAACGGATACACTCCTCTGCATCAGGCTGCACAGCAAGGACACACACACATCATTAACATGCTGCTGCATTATGGAGCGTCTCCCAATGAGCTAACTGCTGTGAGTACACACCTCTAGGATGTAAACAATACATGTAGTGAATGTGTTACAATACAGTGAATGTTGGTTATTTTTGGTCCAGAATGGAAACAGTGCTCTGTCCATTGCGAGGAGACTTGGCTACATCTCTGTAGTGGACACACTCAAGGTGGTCACTGAGGAGACCCTAACGACACAGGTGCATTTATGTTTTTTTTTTAAAGAAGCAAGTAGAGCAACATGCGACACACTTTATTATGTGTTTTCAGTTTAATACTGTCAACATGTTTTATGGAATATCAGCAACTAAAGCATTTTTCTAACTTTAGCTAAAATGCTTTTATTTGTGGTTGGGGTTGACTGAACCCTAACATCCACTCAACAGTGAAAACCGTTGTGATTCACAGCCTGCTTCTATTTCACAGACCGTGACAGAAAAGCACAAGATAAATGTTCCAGAGACCATGAACGAGGTGTTGGACATGTCTGATGATGAAGGTGAGTGAATGGTTTTGGAAATTTAAAGTGAATGTGTGTCACTTTAAATCTGTCGCCAACTTCCTCCATGCTGTCATTAGTCACCAAAGCAAAACAGGTTGAGTTAAAAACCAAAGAAGTCACAGGTCGAGGCACATTTGCTTTGAAGTCTGATACTGATACAAAGCAGCATACATGTTTTTTAATGTAGGTTATATTTTATGTAAATTAATTTCCAAGTGTCTTTAGTGTAGTATAGAAAAAAATTCTATTTTGACATTTTCATTTGTTTTTCTCATTTTTTCCTTTGAGTTTTATCACAAATGTTTATTATTTTCCATATTTTTTTGAGTTTAACTTTATTTCTAACCTTCTCCATCCCACTTACACAGTCCGTAAAGCCAATGTTCCCGAAATGCTCACAGAGGACTATTTATCTGATGTGGACGAAGGTATTTTTTTTTTTCTAAGACTCTCTGCTTGTCAGTCCTTAACTTTGTCTGTCCTCAAATTCTTTTTCTATTCAAATCAAATAGCTCTCACGCTGTCAAGACTCTTATGTACCCACCGTAGCATCAGTGCTCTGTAAACTAGCTTTATTTGTGGCAAATCATGCTGTCCTTTTGTGTACCCTCTCCTGCTGTGATGTTTGTTCTAAACCCTCTACTATTCTCCTGCTGCAAATGTAGACAATATGCATTTTTGTCCGTTGCTATGACAACTGTCTGCATATCGTGTTTGAGGGTGCGTAATGGATTTTGTCTTATGTAGAGTAGGCTACACACACATACACACTCATCCATTGTAGCTGAGCGTGTCTAGAGCTGCAGCTCATGATGTCAGCTTGCTTGACATCATCAAGGCCGAGCTAAGTATTCGACTTGTTCAGACTAAAAAAGAATCTTTAAATTTGCGATATGTAGTTTGTAAGTTTCCAAAATGAGGCTTATCATTTATTACCAAATATAAACACAACTGAATGTCATTGTGGTTGGGTTGGGTTGTTAAAGGTATTTTCTGTTTTGTATTAACAACAGAGGAGGAAGTTGAAAATATCTGCATCATCTACTCTTGTAAGTTCCAAACAAGTGACCTCAGTGCGGCTAACTCTCATAACCAGTCTGACTTGTTGCTGCTAAACCTATGAAACTAAACTGTGTCTGTTTGGTTTTGTAGCCAGTTGAATTTGGATTTGCAGGATGTTTATGTGCATGTTTGCCATCACTGTGAGGCACTGAAGCATGAGCAGTTGCTGTCGTACAGCATTAGTGAAGTACTCTTCTTTAATTTCCCATCCAAAAATACACACACATGCAGTGATACACATAGCAGCAGTGATTCACATCTCTAATAACAAACACAGTCCAGGACAGAAACCTGAACAACACAAACACCCTGTGGTGCGTTTGTGAGCATTGGCACCTTGTTGTGAAGTTTATAAAGTAGATATTGCTTCTGCATGAATATGTATTTGGGGCAGCATTCAATATTTTATTAACTCCTACAGTCTAAAAATACAAAAAATATTAAAGCTGGTATGTTTTTATATGTGACTGGGTTTTTACATTAATATTCTAAATATAGAAGGGAGTGCACCACTACTTAATGTAAGGCAGTGCTGTCAAAAAAAAAAAAAAGTGATAGCTTAACATTAGTAAAAATATGAAAATATTTAGTTATCTTCTTTTAGCATATTCTAATACAACCCTTTCACTCCTTGACAATATTTTGTTTCTGCACCATATTATTGATTCTTCTTTATCAACTCCTGCTGCTTTAAATAAAAAATCTATAAAAAAGTAAAGCAAATAAAATGTAAGCAAAGTAGAAAACTAATAATAATGAATAAAAAATAAAACCCCACAAGAGTGTTATATAATGGGATAATGAACTTTCACTTGTGTGACTAAACACGTTTACCACAGCTTTATATGGAACATCTGTCAACTTTCTCACAGTTTTAGTCAGGAAAGTCCTTAACATTCTGTACATACATGTTGCATCTACTCTGATGGCCTGTAACAGTGGCGCTGCATCAATCCATCCATGCTGTGTTCTAATTGGTTATGGATTTTCTTTAGATAAAAGCATATCAGCAGGATGACTCACAGAGCAGCAGCTGCAGCTACACACATGCTGGACGACAGGATTTATGTTTGTGTTTGAAAGTAAGCTATATTTAGTAGATGGTTGAGAGAGAGAGAAAGGAAAAAAATGACAGAAGGGAGAAATGTAACACAACAAGTGACAGGAGAGGTTTTAAAAGTGAGAAAAGGCGCCATGTTTTTGGTTGTAGCAGAAGTACTGTATATGGTACTGTATGTGTTACCACATACACCGCATTTAAATGTTGGACAACTTGCCCGAGTCACACACTCACTATTTCTGTCCTGTCGGTGAGATCTAGTTTGTCTGTTTAGTAACACACACATACACACCGAGGATAATCCCAGAGCCGGTGGGTAGGCGGGAGAAAGCCGATCTGTTTGTGAGCGACGGGCTGTGAAAGAGAGGTAGACAGTGAGAGAGACAGGCAGCGACAAAAGAGTTGGAGGGAGGTTAGAAGTTTTTGAAAAAAAAAGTTTATTTAATTTAATGATAAAATCCTTTGGCCTGGACGACCGGCTGAATGAAGTGCTTTAAGTGTGGAGGTGAGTTTTACCCCCGGGAGTCGGGGGCTCCTGCAGAATGGTGACTGGAATGTCACCAGATGGACTTGGTAAAGTGTGTGTGAGATAGAAAGTTGAGGGGGGAGGGTTGACGCTGAAGCAGCAGCAGTGGGGGTATGTGGACTCTGAGGGTTGGGGTGCTGGTAGGATCTCCCCTGCTTTGTTGCTGAAGGAATTCCTTCCTTTTCTCCCCCTCTGTCTTCCTGGCATCATGCACTTGCTCTCCTATTTTCTTTTTTTAACTCCTTCCCTTTTTTTTCTTCTTCTTCTTCTTCTACTCTTTCACCCTCCACCTCACCCGGTCAGCAGTAGGCTTGGATCTACAGTGCGTTTGTGGGAAATATTACACAGTTGACTGTATTTCTGCACGCATAGTCAAGTATGTTTTTGCTCCTTTACTACCTGTTTTACGACTTGTACGGTGTGTTTGCTGAGATGACAACTAGGCTCCTGCTGTTCTGTTTGTTTTTTCACCTGAACTCATGTCTGAATAGTTCAAAGTCTAGCTTCACTTTGTTTAAGAGTAAAAACAGTTGTAATTATTGGTGGCTTTGTGTGAACTAACTTAATGTAATGTTGGTTGAAGCCTCTATGTTACTGTTACTGGACCTGGACAAAGGGCTTTCAGTGACACCAGGACTGTGTGAAACTGTTGGATAAAAACTGGACTGGAAAGAAGCCGTGGGCCAAAGCTGCATTGATCAGTGTGTGTACAGAGCTGTCTGTGGTCTGGTCTGCATGGAAAATACAAAAACTTTCACTGGAGACAAATGTACAGGACATGCGTACTGTACTGTAGTACAGCTGGTCTGTCAGGAAGAAGTTCAGACTGTTAACACTGATGGACCATTGTGCTCCTAATCCTCCAGGTGATGATGCCATGACGGGGAACACAGACAAATATCTGGCCCCCCAAGATCTGAGGGAGCTCGGGGACGACTCACTCCCCCAGGACGGCTACATGGGCTTCAGTGTGGGGGCACGGTCACAGAGGTGAGACACAATTAATTCTGTAACTCTTATTCATTTTAATTTTTAAGGTCTGACACATGGAATTACTGAAAACCAATTGGAATTTCATTGAAACGTCAGTATAGATGTTTCCTGCTGGCGTTAATGTTCGACAGGCGCTGACTTTCACAGTGTCACCTGTTCGTTTACTCTTTGTGTAATAATGTTATTCTGTCATATTAATTAAAAATGTTCAGAGGGTTGAAAAGATTTTCAAAGCATTTTATAATAAAGTAAATAATTCCAAAGATAAAAGTCAAAGAAAAAATATTCTGGTTGGTTTATTTAAATAAAAACAAGACCCCAGACTCATCAGTCTGTGTAAGAATAAAGTTCAGTATAGACTGGACTTTTGTATGTACATCTATGTTATATAGACATGTATATACATTGATACAGTACTTAATTACTTTAAAACTGTTCACACACATGTTTTAAATGTTGTTTGAATGTTTGTTGGTTTCTGCTCCAGTGAACGTTTTTTGACAAAGTTTTACAACATTGTACTGTGTTGTCTATGAAGATTCTCAGTCATCCAGGTCATGGTCAACGTTGAGGAGTTGTGTTAGGCAACTGGATGTGAATTTGTTTTACTGGACGTGAATTGTACTGTGTTAATTGGAGGTGAGAGTATGAATAAGATAAGGAGAGTCAGTAAACGACAGTACACTGTGTAGCTGCAGCTATCTGTTTGTATAACTATGACTGGAGCCACAGTAGCGAGTCAAACTGTGTTGTTTTTCCCATACTTCTCCATAAAGAATGACACTTGGTCATATTCTCTCTCTCAGATATGAATATAAATAATCATCTCTCCAGTGTTATGTTCCAGGAAATCCACCTGTCTTTGTTTAGGTAGCTCTTTCACATTGATATTCAGATCAGAAAAGACACAGAAGATGAAGATAAAAATGAAAATCTCAGCAAAAAAGTTACTTCTGCCCTTATCGTCTTTGAACAAGACAACTCTCCAAAGTAATTTCGTAGCAATTAAAGAAGCAAATCAAATTTCAAATTGACATTGTCCAGTGCATTGAGCTCTAACTGTTGCTGGACTCAACTGCTCTTACTACCCTAGTGCCTGGTGCAAGGTCACTGTTTAGCACTGAAGCTGTTGAACCTGCCCCTCCCTTCAAAATATTGACAATCCTGCAACTAAACAAGGGTGTGAGGGGGATTATTGAATATCTGAAGAGTGACACACACACACAGCCACAGGAAATTACAGTCATGATCGATTGCGTGCCCTTGAGCACACGTGCATTGCTTGATAGTGTGATGTGTCCAGTTTGTAGTTCTTCCACTTCAGTCAGTACTGGTAGTAAAAGTGTTTACAATGTTCTACACAATAAGGGTGAACATGTTGATTTGTATTAGTATAACCCATTGGTTTCAAAGTGGGGGGCGGGTTCCTTTTAGGGGGCATGAGGCTATTACACATAAATAAATAAGTAATATTTACTAAGTAATAAGTACTAAGTACGTTTCGATATTTCCTTTACTTGTTCACCAGTGGGCAATTGGAACAGATTTGTATTTTTATTTTCAATGTGTTTTGAAACTGTCAGTGACAGTTTTCAGCATTAGCCCTAGACAGAGTGTGTCGACGTTGGGGTCCTGTAACTCAGTGGTATAATTCGAGGTTCAACCCGAGTGAGGAAATCCCCGTTCTGTCTCAGCTTGTTATTAGCTATTGTGAACACAAAGGAGTCCTGAAATACCTGTACTTAATGGCTGCAGTTGGTGTAATTAAAGCATTAGTGTGCAGACAGTGAACTGCTGGTCATAGTTGCTCTGAGAGCAGCCGCTGCGTGTCATGATGTTGGGTCAGTTTGTAGCTTCTGTCATCCTTCTACCAACCTGCAACTTCTGGCTTCTCTCCTCTCTGCACCTCTTTGTTTCTGTCTGTGTTTGTTCACACTCTTCTATTCTCTCCTCATTTCCATTCCTAATCTTAGTCCCAAAGTCAGGTAAGGTTGAAGGCATGATGAGAGCTCCCCTCCTCCTCCTCCCCCTTCACTCCCCGCCCCTATTAATGTCATGTGGTGCAACGTTAACATATTTCCTGTGTATGTTTGACTAATACCTGGACGCACTGGGCAGTTGTTTATGTTGTGTTTAACACTGTTGTATGTTCACATCAGGCTTCGTTGTGGTGTGACGTGGCTCACTCCTGGTGTTGTCTTTCTCCTGTTTCTTGCATTAAGTTAAAAAAAAAAAAAAAAGCTCACTTGGTTTTGTTGTTGTTGGATGAAAAAGATCCTGCAGTGTTTGCTTTTGTGTGTGTTTGACTGTGGCAACTGTTTCATCACGTCTGGGTCTTTGTGGATTTGCCACAAAGGTTGTAGCTTTGCATCATTTTTTATCAAAATTTTATTTTGTGTGTGTGAAATATTCTGTTATCAAGCTTCCAGGCACCTGATCTGCAGACAGTAGGAATTTTACTGCCTCCAACGATCAAATGGTTTTTGACCAGAACCACAGTGTCCGTTGTATACAAATACTTCTATTGCCCTGTGTTTAAAGAGTAAAGATAAGTAGTCATATATCTTTTATGTCCTATGTGTAGATGCAACAGCTGTATATTTATATAATTTGATAGATATATGGAAGATAATGTAATATAGTCATGAATTTGTTTGCTCCCATCTCCAGAGTGTTGGAGGTATTAATATTAAAATGAATAAAGTTAGTCAGTGTTACTCAGTAAAAGTGTCACTTTTACTTTTTGTCTCATAGAACAGTCTTCATTTATCAGAAATTTGTCATCTTTTCTGAAAACCTCACCTTTAGTAAAGTAAAGAAGAAATACTTTTTTTGGTAAAAAAATAACACAAGACTCGAATAGAAACAATGCTGGAAACATGGCCGCCCTCAGCTGCAGAGCTTTGTCACGTCATATCGTTTATGTGGCGTACTCACAGGACAGACTGATCTGTTTACACCTTTTTACTTGTGCTTGAGCCAAACTCAGAGTTGGAGCTGTGGATGACGTTACCAACAAATATTCATCATCTCATGTCACTGCTGAGGAATGCTTTTTATTTGCCTCATAAACATATGTGTTAAAAACCCCGACGCCTACGGCGTTGGCCTCATACCGTATATATTTGTCAGTAGGTGAGTGGGAGTTGCAGATACATCATCTGTAGGTGTTTCTGCAAACCATCAATGCACCATCACTACAGCCATTATTGGCATTCTCTCAGCAGCCCATCACTCAGCCATCTGACCAGAGTGCATCAGTGTCACTCAGGCATTCATATTGTGTGTTAGACGTTGTGAAAAGTTGGTTAAAGGGTAAAGAAGCTTAAACAAACAGGTGTAGACTCTAACGTTATGTCTGCTGTGACCAGTTTTCCAAAGTAACTTCCTTCCTTTAGAGAGTATTGTTGCCTATGTTAATAAATTATTGCATTTGCATTGAGTTTTTTTACATTTGTAGCATTTGCACTTGAATATTGTATTTGTTGTTTTTTTCTTGGTGATTGTAATATTGTCACTGGTGACACAGAGTCAGGTTCCTGGAAGCTGCATGCTTAATGTTTTTATGTTTTTGTTTCTTTCTTTTTTCCCTTTCACTTGATGGCCCTTCACACCCACTCCCTTCCCAACCCCTCCACCTCCTTCTCCTCCTCCTCACCACCTCCCCTTTCCATCACTCTGACTATTGTCTTGGTGTAACCTGTGACTGCTTCGGCAACCACACACCAAGCCTGCGTTCCTTCAGTTCTGATAGGTCCAACACGTTGAACCGGAGCTCCTTCACACGGGACAGCATGATGATTGAGGAGATGCTGGCAACAAACAAGGAGATGGTAGGTGTGCTGGTGCATCTGCTCCATCTTTCTGTCTCACTGCCTCAGTTGGTAATCTGATAATCATCTGCAGATTTGCAGTCTTTACCTTGACTGGTGTTCTGTCTCCACATGTTTCAAACTGATACTGGTGTTGTGCCAGTAACCAGGCTCCGCCGTATTCGTCTTACACCTGTGGTTGTGTTAGAACTAAGTTGACCCATATGACTATGTTTCACTGAAAGAAGAAGTGATATCAGTGGTTAGAGCTGCTGTCTACTGTTACCCATATTCCTGGAACAAAATGAAACTTGAAGTAGGAGTTTAGTTCAACCTCAGATAAGTTCATCACAGCAGTACTGGACAAAGTCACGCTGTCCAGGATGTGTCACATGTTTTGACACAAAAAACTGTTTTTTAAAGCTTATAGCTACACTACAAGCTAACGTAACTTCCTACTAGTTTGGCCACAGATCCAGAAGGTGGCAGTAAATAGGTGGAAAAAGAAAAAATACATGCAGGGGCAGCATCCTGAATTAAACTGTTTTGTGTCAGTAAGAATAAGCAGTGAGCTAAACCTAGGGTATTTGTGTGAAATCTCAACAACTGCACAGCTGCTTGTGTTTTGTTGAGCCGTGAAAGAGTCAGTGCTGTGACAGCCACTGATAACATGCTGCAATCTGAACGACCCATTATTATAAGTTATGACTGACAACTGCGCTGAGTAACTGCTTGTCTCCTTTCATGCTGCCCCAGATGCTCTGTAAAGAAAGGTCTTTTCTTGTAGAGCAACACAATAAGGTAGATGTCGAAGTCATCACGAGCGTTTCCTCTCAGCACTGTTCTTTCCTGTCATACTTGTTGTCATCATTTTATTATTTTCCATTTATACTACTGTGCAATTATTTTAGCTCTACAATTATTTTGCATTGATTACATAGACACACAATTTGACAGTCAGTGTGAATCGTGTTTGTCTCACATCCTTTTCGATTTCTCCAATGACTTAATTGTCTTTTTCATAGCATTTGTCAGCGGCCAAGGACTGTGACAATGATTCTCTGAGGAGATACAGCTGGACCGGAGATGCTCTGGATAATGTCAACCTTGTCTCTTCACCGATACACTCTGGGTGAGCACATTTGAAAGATTTGGATGAAAAATAAACTATCAAAGAGAGTGAAATGGGAAGAGGAAAAAAAGTAGGGGACAAGTCCCTGACTTTGTCTTCACCTTTGTTTTGTTTTTCCTTTCTGTCGTCCTTTTCAGTTCTCATATTTCATCTTGTTTCTTTCAAGAAAATATCTGCCTACCTACAAAAGGTTTAGTCTGTTACTTTTAATGCCGTACTCTCTAATTGTACCGCCGATTCTCAAAAATGTCTTTCACAATGTGATCAGAAAGAGCTCAGACGAAACTGCATTCTAGTACATTCCCTTAGTTCTTGTTTCCTTAATTTGATACATTTGCCCTAAACACTTGTATCTTACTCTAAAAATAAAAGATTCATAATAAGTTAAATGACAAAAATAAACATTTGCTGAATTTAACCTTTTTTCAGTGCTTTTGTTTGTATACATATCTCCATAAACCCACTAAACCTGTTTAAATAGTTAGCCCTTTGAGGAAGCTATATTAATTGATCCATAAAAGAGAAATAAGGAAATTGTCGCCATAGTTTACTTTTTTTTCCCTAAAAATAGGAAATGTGTCGCTTTTGGAAGAAATTGTTTAGCTTGATTTATAGCTCATACCAAATATGACAAACATCTGTTTACTGCTAGAATATGAAACTTAAGTAAAAAGATTGATTCTTGCTACACCTTTGGTTTATTTTTTCAGATTAACTGCAAACCTGTTTATTTTTTATAAACATGCCAGTATGTCAAATCCCTTTTTGTACCATAGATGGGTGTCATTTAGCAAAAAATCCATCTGTCTCCTCCATCACATGTCAGATGACATGTGATGCCCTTGGACGCCCTCCTTGGTGATCTTCTCAGTGGTGTTTTTTTTAATGACCAAACTTTGTTGTTGACTTGTCACTCCTGCATTGCTTTGTCGTCCATCCTGCAGTTTTTCCTCTCCGCTCCCGCAGTACGACAGCAGGTGACTGACTGTGATTGATTGCTCTCTTTTTATTACCAACTCTTCCCTCGTTTCTGGTGACATCACACCCCACCATCTATGTTCACTCATAACATCAGTGTCTGTCGTCCCCAAAAATGTACATATTTGTGGTCACACACTTGGTTTATGCCCCATTGTTTAATTAAACAATTCTAACTGAATGGATTTTACAGAAATAAAGCTGGTTGGACCTCAGTGTATGTACATCAGTTACAGCAGAATGCTGTTCTCACAGGCTGATCTGTTCAGATAGATGAAGTGAGGCATCCAGTGGTTGATAAGATCCTAGTTTACTTCATGAGCCATTTTCCTTAAGCACCTGGACACTCTTTTGTCACCTTTAAGGCATGTGTTCTTCCTGCATTCTCACTGTTTGTTGTTTTTTTTTTGTCAAGTATTCTGTAATTTATAGGCTAAATTAAGGGACAAACTCTGTTCCAGGGTAGAATTCCAGGCTAAAAACTAAAGACTTCTTTTTACCAGAGCGCACATGTCCATTACTATTTGCTTCTACTTCTTTTTACCAGAGCGCACATGTCCAATACTATTCGCTGTTTTCTATTGGTCCGTCCTTTCTTGCGAAACCGTAGCTGGTAGATGCTCCTCTTCCCAGACTCAAACCTCGTACCAGGTTAACAAGTCAGGAAACTTTGAGAATGTAACCTAAATAAGTCCAAGTCTATTCCAGTCTTAAGTTGCTGCTCTCCCAACCTTTTAAAAATGGGTTGCTGTCATTGATTTTTTTAATATTTGGTAAAGAATATTATTATGTTTGCGTACACGTATAAATGCAAAACTAGTGTCTGCCCTTTGGTCATTTTGCCTTTTCAAGTCAGATTTGACTTTCCCAAATGTTTGTACAACTTTGATTTGAGTTTCTTATGACTACTTCTTATATATTTAACTGAAGATTACATTCTGACCAACATGACATCAGACTTCCCCAGATTGCATGGTGTGAATCTGTGTGAGTGAGAAACCATTGGTGTGACTTTATTTTTTAAGTTTCAAGAGTATAACACAGGTTTGTACTACGTTCTGGTTCCAGAACAGAATGGAAGCTCCTGTGTTGACAACTGGGCTGTGAAATAGTCCTTTATGCCCCAAAGAATGACACATTCAACACACATTTATAGAAAAATCTACAGAAGATTTGACTTTAGTGCCGTCTGCAGTCAGTCTGTCAACACAGAAAACTCCTAAACATATGTAGAATATTTATTTCCTCTACTTTTTTACTCGCTTGTTTTCACACTTACTTTGTGTGTGTTTTGCGAATCACAGCATGGGAAGTGGTCACCTCAACTAAACCTCCTCTCTCTTCATCAGTGTTGTAGCTGTTACAGTCATAGAAATAAACATTTTGCTTTTGATTCCTTGTTTATTTTGGCTTCTCTCGCCCTCTTCAGTGTGTGATCTTGTTTTCTTTCCTCTACTGTTTTACATCTTGATATTTTCTGTTTATTATTGTCCTCTGTTTTTTTCTTTCTCTTTCTTTTTGCCCTCTGTTAGGTTCCTGGTCAGCTTCATGGTCGATGCCAGGGGCGGCTCCATGAGAGGAAGTCGTCACAATGGGATGCGCATCATAATCCCACCCAGGAAATGCACAGCGCCCACCAGAATTACCTGTCGACTGGTGAAGAGGCACAAACTGGCTTCACCTCCTCCCATGGTGGAAGGAGAAGGTCTGGCCAGCCGACTGGTGGAGGTGGGACCAGCAGGAGCTCAGTTTCTCGGGTAAGACACTGGTGTTTGCCCTACATTTTATTTGTTGTGCTATAAAGTGTTTACTTTTGTTGGGTGACATTTCCTTCGTTCTGCTTCTTGCCATCTTCATATCCAGCCATCTGCGTTTTCAAAATTTCAAGAGTGAATGTGTTTTTCTGCATGTTGTGTGTGTAATACCTGGACTTCTATATGAAATGTAATGTTTGCTGTATGCTCACCCTGGAACCAGTTGTCCAGCTGTGGTTAAGTAAAAACATCAGCTGTGTCTGATTTGTATAAAGGTGGATTGTACAAGAGGAACCCAGAGGTAACATGTTGTTATTATGCACTGGAGTCTCCTGATTCATTTTAGTTAGGGATTAAAAGATTTTTACTTTTCTACATTTTTTCAAGCTACTCTAACCAAAACCTTGATTTCTTTAAAAATATTTTACTTACATTCTCCTTTTGTCATTGTTATTTACACCAGCACAAAGATCCTTAGTTTCAGATGAGCTAAATCATCTCCACAGCAATACACTCCCTGTCTTCATCTTTGGGGATGGAGTTCTATAAATTACATGACTTTCCATTTCTTATCCAAAGCTAAGCAACATCTTAATAGATATTCATGTTCTGACCTACAGGTGTTCTTTAAAAAATCTGTTCAGTTTTTGACATGAGGAAACATTTTGATAAATACCCAAAAATTATCAATGCTTGATCTTTTTTATTTTTATTTATTTGTTAGTTTAAAGATTTAGTATATTTTTATTATATTACACACTTATCATACATAATAATAATAACAATAGCTATCCTATTATTATTATTATTATTATCCAAAACAAATACTAAACTACTAACTAAAAATGGAATTACTCTGCAGTCTCTCTGCATTTTTTTATACAACAGACAAGAGTCAAGACTACTTTAATTGCAATAACATAAAGTCAGCATTGTTTGCCATACTGACTCTGTGTGACTCAGTGTTGTATGTGTGTACGTGTGTTTTACTGTTTTGCGGACACAGTAAACTGCATCTTCCCAGAAAGCTGCCAGCCCTTAATGAAGGCGAGAGCTTGGTTAGTCCAGTCCTACAGCTGGGACCCAGAGGAACTAGATTTGTTGGGTAGGAAACATAGCAACATGCAACCCACCCACCCCTACTCTGAGTCCCTGTCCCCCACCTCCTGAACGTCCCACTACCCTGAGGGAACGACATTGAGGCTGAATCATGCTGATGGAAATTATTACTTTGCCCATCGATTGATTTGTCAAGATGCAGCACCAATATTGTATGGTTGCCTTGTAGTTTTGGGAAGAAAGAGATGTGGTTTCAAATGGGGGGGTGGGCGGATGTCAGCCTTTACTATTGACTACGGTAATTTAAAGTTAGTTCAAATGAAGAACAACAACAACAGAGCATTCAGTTTAATTTTGTTAACATTTGATAAACATTTAGAGGAAGAGAAACAGAACATAGTTTCTGTTCATTTTTTTAACTCAAGTTCTTCCTAAAACTACACTATATAGTTAAAAAAAAACATTGAATTTATTTTGGTCACTTTTATTTTGTGTCCACTGTATGTTTTTTGATTTATTAAGTAAACTTTCAGTGGATTGTGATGTCATTGAAAGTAAAGGGTTTGTTGGCTGTTTGGACTGCGCTTGTTTTGGGCATGAGCCTTGTCCTCCACCAGCCGAGCATCATCCTGCTTCCCATGACTGCTGTTACTTTACTTCACATCCGAACAGGTTTATGTCATCCCACAATCTTTGTTTTAAAAGCGTTTGTTTCTAGCCATTTTAAAACGATTCAACATTTAATGAAATACACAGTCCCGTTCTCCAAAGTCAACAATTACAAACAATCCTAAAGACAATGTCCAGCATGAGTGTGTGTGTGTATTTCAACAGAAAAAAAATCCTGTTGCACTCTGTGAGCACAGCCAGGTAGAGACTCAGTCCTCAGTAGTGCTTTTAAACCTACTGAATATAAGAATATTACAAGTGCTTTGGTACATAAACCGGTTCCTTAAGAGACCTCACTGTGCGTATTTGACTCAATCATGACGTTCCTCTTTTTTAAGGTCCTTTTGAAAAGTTGTTACCAGTTGATGGTCGAACACAAGCTGTTCTTCATTACCACAGATATGACAACTAACTCTGCACAAAGGCTAGTGTAAATTATTTGAAATGTCCTCGACTGTGCCCATATGTTAGTCGAGATGTTGTGACAGTAGTCAACACAGCCAGACCTGTCTGTAGGAAGTCGTTTATGGAGGTTCCTTTAAAATGGTTGTGGCTGTTCAAAACTTAGGCATAGTTTGAATGCACCTCATATTTGAAATATGTTCTTTTGTTTTTTTGTGTCTATAATTATGTACTACGTATACTGTACATCAATAAGGTTTATTTATAGCAGCAGTTAGTAAGCTTCACTGTCAATAAAACCAGTAGAAAATTAGCTGAATGTAGTAACCCAGGAGAGGCCTATCTGAGAACCTTTGATGGTAAAGAGGACTCTACCAAGCAGTATTATGCGTGTTGCCAGGAAACCCTCAAACCAAATGGTCGTACAGTAAATGTACTTCATGTACTGTACATGTACTGTACAATCTTCCTTTTCTCTTGTGTTGCTGTCATGCCTTGTTTTAGTAAGGGCTGTGCAGCTTTCTCTTTTCACCTCTCATTCAACTCCATCTGTGTCGGCACACAACGTTTCAACCATGGCCCACACTCTGAAACCCCTGTTCAGCAACAGCAACAGGCCATTCACCAGCTGAACTTCACTTCATTCATACTGTATTCATCCAAAGAGTTTCATTCACATTTATATAGGCTTTTCTCAACTTACCTCAAACATTGTTTTGAGGAAAAAAAGTGCTTTGTCTGCTCTGGCCATGTTCCAATGACATAAGTGTCATCAAATGACAACATTTTTTGTTTTTTTCTCTGGTACTCAGCATGTCTCCATTTGTACCTCAACAGGCCAGTGATAGTGGAGATTCCTCATTTTGCCTCAATGCGAGGCCAGGAGAGGGAGCTGATCCTGCTTCGCAGTGAGAATGGAGAGAACTGGAAAGAGCATCTGTATGACTGTCGGACTGATGATCTCAACCAGCTACTGAATGGCATGGATGAAGGTATGTCATTATGGTTGTATTATTCTCCTAAGAATGTTCTATGTACAAATGATTTATAAACCAATGAATATAGAGCTAATGTTATTTGTTTCCTGAAGAACTGGACAGTCCTGACGAACTGGAGAAGAAGAGGATCTGCCGCATCATCACCAAAGACTTCCCACAGTACTTTGCAGTGGTGTCTCGAATTAGACAGGAGACCAACCAGATGGGACCAGAGGGCGGGACCCTGTGCAGTCGAAGCGTCCCACTGGTTCAGGCCTCTTTTCCTGAGGGGGCGTTAACTAAGAAGATAAAAGTCGGACTGCAGGTGGGTTGGGCAGGTTTTCACTTTTGTTATTAGTAATGGATTGTATTTGTAGAATTTGGTTGTTCATGCTTTTCCAGTATCATCTCTCAAGTTCTATAGTATAATTGGAATCATTTTATGTTATATATCTCATTTTATATGAATATAATTAACATCAGTGGTAGATTTGAGTTAATTATAGTCGATAGTCAATAATTTGTGAACATCGGTCTTCGCAGGCTCAACCAGTTCCAGATGAGACTGTGAAGAAACTCCTTGGTAATCGAGCAACTTTCAGCCCCATCGTTACTGTGGAGCCCAGGAGACGAAAGTTTCACAAACCCATCACCATGACGATCCCTGTGCCGCCCCTGTCAGGGGAGGGGCTTACCAATGGCTACAAAGGAGACAGTACTCCTTGCCTGCGGCTCCTATGTAGTATTACAGGTACTTTGCATTTGTGTTTGCCTATTCATGAAAATATAAATCTATTACCGATTATTTTTACAGTGGGTGAGCGGTATATTCAAGATCTTATTATAATAATTCAATTCTTCAATTGCCTCAGTGTTGTTTGCAAAGCAGCCAACATTGCACGAGCAAGTTACTTAAATAACTACACAAACCTACAAAAAGTGTAAAACCCATTAAACATATATTTAACCAATAAATACAACACAAAAGAAAATATTATATTAAATTACAAATTTTATGTAACTCTATGAAAAATGACAGTTATCAAAGTTCTTTTAATTTGTTCTGATTGACCTTCCACCAGGGGGCACATCTCCAGCACAATGGGAAGACATCACAGGAACAACTCCTCTCACTTTCATTAATGACTGCGTCTCTTTTACTACCAATGTCTCTGCAAGGTAATACAGTCCCACTCCCCTGTGACTCCACCTCCCACAATCCTCTCACTGTTCTTTCACAACATTAAGTCTTTTTTTTTTTTGCTTTTATTTTGCAGGTTCTGGTTGGCAGACTGCCACCAGATCCCAGAGACGGTGGGTTTGGCCACACAGTTGTACAGGGAGCTAATCTGTGTGCCCTACATGGCCAAGTTTGTAGTTTTTGCTAAGATGAACGACCCGGTGGAGTCCAACCTGAGGTGCTTCTGTATGACCGATGACAAGGTGGACAAGACCTTAGAGCAGCAGGAAAACTTTGAAGAAGTGGCCAGAAGCAAAGATATAGAGGTACAGTTCTTAAAAACTTGATCTCTACTTTAAGATGTACTTTATAAAATGTAAAACATCTTGTTGGTTTTTTACTCTACAAGGTCCTGGAGGGCAGACCCATCTACGTGGACTGCTATGGAAATTTGGCTCCACTGACTAAGGCTGGTCAACAGTTGATTTTATACTTCCACGCTTTCAAGGAGAATCGTTTGCCCTTCTGTGTTAAGGTATGTTACTGTACAGCTGTAAACTAGTCAACCTTACCTAGCACTCATTTGGGGCAGTGGTTTGTTAATCATTGTGTCTAAAGAAGTCTGTTTTTTAGGGATTAGACTTGTAGTTAAATAAAAAACACTTAATATACACTAAATTTGCTTAAAAAAAGGTTAAAAGCATGTATTGCCAATCGTAATACATTTCTATTGTTTTACAATTGATTTATCACTAATATCTTTACAAAGTAAAAAAAAAAAAGCAACCTTGTCTGTAACAGGTGAGAGATCCGAGCCAGGAGCCTTGTGGACGTCTCACTTTCCTCAAAGAGTGTAAGACTATAAAAAGCCTTCCACAAACAGCCGTGTGCAACCTGAACATCACACTGCCTGCGGTGAAAAAGGTACAGAAACTTTATGGTTCATTCTTTGTTGTCATCTCCATGACCATACTCATGTTTAGATTTAGTTTCAGCACCAGAAAACCTGGTAGATGAAAGACAGAAGAAGACTTTGGCCAAACTGCAGCCACTGTGTCTTTTATCTGTTTCAAATTTATATCTGTGTATTATATGGTTTTCTATGCAGTGGATTCTCGTCAGTGGTGGTGTCTTTATGCTCCTACCTACTTTTTTTGTTTGGATTTTTTTGCTTGTGGCTCGGGGCCTTTGTGCAAAAGGCTTCTTTGATTATCAGGCTGGCTTTTGTGGCTTGACTCCTTTGCTGTGTCTGCTGTTTTTTTCTAGTGTTTGTTTGTTTGGTATGCTTTTTTATTTGCTGATTTTTTTTTCTGCTGATTTGCTCTCTGAGGAGCTGCTATCACTCTATCCTTTTTCACACCCTGATGTTTCTTTCCCACCTGCTTTCCATGTTATGTTGTTGCCCCAATCCCGTTCCTGCAATGCATCTTGGGAACCAGGAAATGGAGTCAGATGCCGAGGATGAGGTAAACTAAACCCTCCCCATTTTGTGCTGTCCTCTGCGTTAAAATTCTGCAGCGGCGCAGCTCTGCTCATCATAGCTTTATTCTTTTGGCTTTTCCAAGGGCAACTGAAGCTTCCTTCGCTCGAAGCTACCTTTCGCTGCTCAGTTTTGCATGAAATACTTTATTGGAGATATTGAGCTGGAGATGATTTATGTCCAGCCCAAAATCCTATACTATCTACACTGTTTTATACAGCGTAAGGAGAACTCAAATGTAGATTTTCTTGCAATGTTTTTGATTTAAGATTTAATATAAAACAAATTTTAATTATTTTTAAGGTTTAATCTTTTAAAATGTCAGTTTGAGCATCACTGAGGCTTTTCAAATTAAGCTCAAGTGACTTCTGCTGCTGTGTCATGAAGTTTGTAAGTTGCACAGAGCAGTTTTTAATGGTATATACCAGCTACTGGAGACTTTTGTGTTTGCTTAAAATTGACATCACACTATCTAAATGTTAGTCACTTGGCAAATCTGTACTATTTAGGGTGACCTACAACTGATAGGTGTTGTGTTGTTTACTATTGTTGCAGACTGAAAAGCCAGATCGACGTCAAACCTTTGCATCTCTAGCCTTACGTAAGCGCTACAGCTATCTGGCCGAGCCTGCACTGAGTGAGTTTGACATTTTCACTAACAAACATTTGACGACTATAACAATGTCTATACTCGATAATAATTTAATTTACATCATAACAATATTAATCCACTAGTAAAATTCCTAGTAATGTAATAAATTCATATGTCCCATTCTACGTTCCTTGCACTGTCCACATGCTTGTTTACAACATGGTACATATATTTTTGCATGGTTTAGTGATTGGTTTTCTGTTTGTGGTGCTGTGCTTCTCCACGTTGTGAGTTTTTCTGGGTTGGTTTCCACTGCTGAGTTTTGAAAGAGCATTTTCTTTGACTTGCCTAAACCATGAGAACAGGCGTTTGAGAAGGAGGTCAAAGTAAAATAACTTTTTATTTATATTTGTCAGTTTTTGACCGTTTTGGCTTTGTGGATTGGCAGCTGTCATGCAGTGCAAAATAGCATGTTGGGGTTTGAGTCCGGCTTTATTTTAGATTATTTAGTTCACACTATGCTTGTCACTAGTCCTTTATGTTCTTGCATGACAAAATGGGCCCGAACCTGAGTTTCAGGAAACGCATTTTGTCAAATTTTTGTTTGGTATCGAGTTAATAAAAAAGAAGCCTTTGGCTCTACCGGTATCTCTTGGATCAAACAGATAAAAGGCACTCTAAAAAGCAGAAAATCTTAGAAAAATCAATTTTTACACAAACAACATCTGAAATCTGAAGAGATAAGTGATTTTGTGTTAGACCTGGTGCATTTGTCTTGCCATTTTTTCGTTGTCTGTGCCATTGTCTGTGGAATTTTATTTTGCTGCTGTGTGTGCTTCGTTACTTCATTGTGTTACTGTTGTTGCTGTTGTTCTCTGAGCCATCATCAAATTGTGAACTGTTGGACACAAGTCCTATCTTTCGACTTATATTTCCATTCACGTCAAATAACTGTAATTTTCCTTTCTTGATATCAAGATTGTTTTACTGACCAACTCTTCCTCCTCTGATCTTTCCTTTCACATTTTTTTTATATATTTTGTATTCTACATTCCTTTGGTTATTTTTTTCCATTTTTCCTTCACTGCTCTTTACTTCAAATCCCTCTGAAGAAACAGCACTTGAGCGAAGTTCATCAGCAAGAACACTGCCTGCTGGTCACCCTCACAAACCTGTCTTTCCAGCCAGACCTTACCCAGCATGGTCGACTGCTCCTATTACCATCCCTGGCCAAACAAGGCACATCGGAATGGGGGGTTCCCTCAGCTCTACCGATTCACCGGCAGGCTCACCAGCTGCTTCTCCACTGAAAACAACTTGGTCCCTCTCATCCCCATCACCCACATGCCCAAATTTCAGAGCTAATCTTAGTGCTCCACCAACACAAACACTTACCATGTCTACTCAAGTTAAATCCCTTAATGAAATAGTGTCATCTTCTCCTATTAGGTCATACAGGACTATGCCTTCGCCAATTAAAACGGTTGTGCAGCAGGGTCAATACCCAGTCCAGGCAACTGCAAGCCTCGTGTCCTCTGGAAGCCCCTGTAAATCTGCCACAGATCCAGTAACAATCAGGAATCTTGCATCGGCATACACATCACGAACTTCCCCACTTCACTCTGTACCTAATGGTGGTATACCAGAAAGATTATCAACTCCTTTAGCTGTTCCAGATTCACAGAAGAAACCTCAGAGTATGTATAATGCTAATCTCCCTCTGAAAACTGCCCTTGGAACTATGGCTCTGACAAATGCAGTGTCACTCAGCCTTCCTTCTGGTAAGAGCATTTCCAGTCTGTCCACTTTAAAAACGTCTGTAGATTCAACACTGTCATCCCGGGGAGGCAGAACTTCTGTCTCATCTCTCTCTTCAAATGGACAAACAACAATTCCTTCCTCAGAATTGTCAATGACAAACGGATTTGCTTCACCTCATAAATATCCATCTTCTACGTCTACACCATCTTCACCTTCTTCTCGCCTTCTCTCCGAGAAGAGTCTGCAGGAGAGGATTCAAGCCACCACACAGGCCGCGACAACCAGTGTCAGTGCAGCCATTAATGAAGCCATAGACTCCTGCTCTGGCTCCAGTTATGGCACACTTAAATCTCTAGCATCCTCACACAGATCTCCATTAGCAAACTCGACTTATGGCGCTCTGCTATCTAGTGCTTCTTCCTCCAGCTCTGCAGTGACATCTAATATGGTGACTGTACCTGTGTATTCATTAGTTAACATTATTTCAGAGTCTCCTATCAAACCAGGACCAGGGTCCTTAAAAATGGCACTGCCAGACCACCCTCCTGCCTCCTCCTCATCATCAACATCTTTGTCTACCTGTGTTACTGCGTCAAAAATTAAATCGCAGTTAAAATCACCTCCATTTATTACCCCACCTATCATCCACTCAACTGCAGCCTCCAACCAAGAGATACTAAAGGATGTTGCAGACATGAAGGAGGATCTGATCAGAATGACAGCAATCCTTCAGTCAGACACACAGACTGCAGCCAAAACTGTTCAGACATCACAGTCTGGCACCCCTAAAGAGATGAAGTTAGAAGATGAAGAGCCAATTTCTCTTGTCGAGAAGGTTAAAGAAGATTTAGTTAAAGTCAGCAGGATATTACAGAAAGATGCTCTTACAGGAAAAAAGAGGTCTTCAGAGGATGAGTGGGAAGAATTTTCCAAAGAGGAAATTGAAGAAGCACAAAGAAGTGTGATCACAGACCATTACACTCCTTTTGATGATAGCACGCTCCTGTTAAAGCAGCGCTCCATGTCAACTAAGGACTTAGAGTTGGCTAAAGTTGTAGATTTTTTGACAAATGACATAGGTGCTAACTCACTCTCTAAGATGGCAGAGTTGAAAAGTAGATATGAGGAGGAGATAAAACAGGAAGGGGAAGAGAAACAAAAACGTGTGCTCAAACCATCAATGTCAATTCAAGAGCACAAACTCAAAATGCCTCCACCAGTCTCAGGCATGATCAGGTCCCCATCAGAGAAGGACCTTAGCAAACTTGCAGAGTCGTATCAGGGTTCAGAGACTATTTTGGAATCACCTGAAGACCTGTCTCATGAGCAGGATAAGAGTCCCTTGTCAGACAGTGGGTTTGAGACCAGGAGTGAAAAAACACCCTCTGCTCCTCAGAGTGCAGAGAGTACAGGACCAAAACCTCTCTTTACAGATTCACCAATACCTCCCAGTGTATCTGAAATCACAACTGATGTAATCAGTTATGAGCAGCCTGATGATTTTTATGAGCCTGCTCTAATGGATGAAGCTGCATCTGCCCTTCCTTCCATGGAGCCAGATGTTGGTTTGAAAGGCTCTTCAGGACAATTACAGATAAAGATACCACAGGATGAATCCATGATGAACAAAAGCATGTGTCTTAAAGAGGAAACTCATATTACTACGACCACTAGAATGGTCTACCACCAGCCCCAGCTGACTGATGGTGCAGACATGTTAGAGGAAGCTATGTCAGTCAGAGACATTATGAAGGCATTCCAGTCAGGCAGAGATCCTTCTAAAGAACTGGCAGGCCTATTTGAACACAAAGCGGGCCATGATTCCATCAAAGGTGATGAGCTGACACCTAGATTCCTAGAAAGAGACATGAAATCTAAACCCAAAGTTGAAAGAATAATTGAGGTTCACATTGAAAAGGGCCATAGCACAGCTGAACCTACTGAGGTTATTATCAGAAAAACAAAAAAACATCCTGACCTTTACATTTATAAAGGAGACCGTGGAATTAGGGAACTTGGGGATTACGATGACATCCAACAGGAAGAAGAGGAGCTCATTGCCGAAGAAACCCTGCCATCTTTCCTCGAAACGTCACGTGTTAACACACCAGTGTCACAGGAGGAAGACAGTCGCCCCAGCTCTGCTCAACTGGTAGGAGATGATTCATATAAAGCCCTGAAACTATTGAGCCAACAGTCTATTGAATACTGTGATGATGAGCTGTCAGAGTTCAGAGGTGAATCATATAGGTTTGCAGAGAAAATGCTTCTGTCAGAAAAACTTGATTCATCCACACTGCCGAACTCTGACACAGAGGACTCAGCAACAGCGACTGAAAAACCCCGCTCACTGATTTCTGAAGAAACAGGTAAACATGATACTGAGGGCCTACGTCAGCACTATAGAAGCCCTAAAAAAGAATATGTCCCCAAGTCATCAAAAGAGGGGTCACCTAAATTCATGCAGCGAGAGGAACCTTCCCAATTTGAAAAAGTGACTGTGCTTCATTATTCCACAGAACAGGGCAGCCCCAAACATGCTGTTTGGATGAGATTTACAGAGGATAAACATGACAGAACCAGGGATAAGCTGCTATATGAGGATAGGGTGGATCAAACTGTAAAGGAAGCTGAAGAAAAGCTTTGTGAGGTATCACAGTTTTTCCGTGATAAAACTGAGAAGCTTAATGATGAGCTGCAATCCCCTGAGAAAAAGCCTATGAGACGTGAGCCAAAGGAGACCAGATCCTGGCCTACTTCAGCATGTAGCAGCCCTGAGAAAACACAGCAGAAACCTAAAGCAGGAGAAGAGGCATTTGGTAAAAGTAAACCTTCGGTTGATAAAGTGTTAGGGAAGTCAGCAACAACTGAAAAGAAAAGTTCCAGCTTACCAAGTAGTCCAAAGAGATTTGTGGTTTCTGAAGGGAGTGATGATAAATTGACTACTGAGTCTGAACCATCTTCTCCCTCTCATGTGAAATCAACTTCTAAAGTCAGTGCTGTGAGAATGAAATTTGAATCAGAATTTCAGAAACAGTCTAGTCCCACCAAAGTTCCTCCCCCAGTACAACCAAAACCCTCAGTTAAAAAATTGCAAGAGAGCAAACTTCCAGTTTTTCAGTTCTTTACTGGCAATAAAGTGTCGAAACAATCTGAAAAAACTGGAGACTTGGCAGATAATGTTGATATGGTCACATGTGCTGTAGTGGACAGCAATAAATCGGTCACAACACTCTCATCCAAAGCCCCAAAGCATGCAGAGGACAAGCAAATAGGTAAAAACT